TTGCTTAGTGATTGATTACGGAATTTATTAATGTGTTATTTTATATAAAAAAAATATTTAAAAATTTAAGTAAGATTTTGTTAGATTTTTTCTTAACAGATTTTGTTATAATTAAAAAAAACAAATTTATAGTTGATTTTTTATTAATGTAAATAATCAAATATGTCATATTAACTAATTCTTTAAATGGTCTTACTATGACTTGTTAGTAGTAGATAAAAATAAGACCCTAAATTAAAAGTTTAGATTTTTGTATGAAATTTTATAATTTAAATGAAGCTATCTCTTTGATTAAATAAATGTAAAATCAGTTATGGACAAATAATATTATTATTTAAAAGCAATAATTTTAAATAACAAAAATATTAAATCATTTCTACAAGTTAATATCATTAATATTACATCAATCAATAGTGAGTGATATAAATATTTGAAATCAATTATTTTAATTGACACCAATACTAACATCTCTTAATCAAAATTTATTTAAAAGATTGTATCATTTTTGACAGAGGAGTGTCACTACAAAACGCAAGCTTGTGTGTGGAAAGATACATAACTCCCATCACAGGACCAGCAGACGTAGACAAGTAGCAAGCATAGTTCTTGCGAAGCTGCTCATCGGGAAAGCATTCAAAACAGCAGCATCAGCTACACTTGGGCCTGTTTTCACTAAAAAATAAATAAAGATATCATTCAGTCATATCTTCCGTTCAACACTATCAATATCTATACAACACTTGTCCCTCACACAACATCAGCATTAGTTGTAACTTTCTCATTTTCTGTTAACCATCAAAAGTGTACATACAATATCAAAAAGCTTATATTGTGAGCTTGTCACTGGTTTAAAAGACATAATAACTAAACCACACTTAATAGGAGAGGGAAGAGTACTACTCTTTAGCAATTCTCTCAAACCCTTCTTGTAATTGCTTGATCTTTTGGAATACAATCAGTGTTTCTCTTTGGAGTTGATGCAGCGAGAGAGACGATGATATTCAGGGAAATAAACCATGATCATACGGTTTCTCAGTTAGCATCAGACACTTGAACCTCATCGCGGATTACATGACGTTCTCTAGTGTATACGGTCCAATGAGCCGTATGGGAAGAATATTATTTATACTTCATTATGGTGAGTCTCAGAGTCGAAAGAATATATATGTATACATGTATTCAGGTTTTGAATGTCATGCTGAGATTTGCATGGATACAAACCGTTCTTGATTTCAAATTCTCCTTGTAGCTTACGAAACAAGAAAAGAAAACATTCATGGAGATGGACATCAACAAAGTAAATGACCTTTCCATCAAATCTATCACCCAAACGAATCAAATTTATGAATCTAACAACATAATTGTGAACAATTTTTATTCAATATTGATAATAATCCTTGAAGCAAACAAACCACTAAAAAAAGTTAACCTAATACTCTAAATAGTCAACCCTAAGCTACCTTTCTCGCCTCCTCAGAGATCTCTTCGTTCTTCACCTGTTCTTCTCGGACAACTTTCTCTGCTGTAAGAAAAGGCTCGGTGTGAGCAACAACACATTTATACAACGTATTGGTGACATCCATACACTTGGTGACTAAATCTTCGTCCTTAGCTTCCTCCACACAAACTTCCCAAGCCGTGAATGAGTCTCTGCAATCACCTCCTTTCATCAACAAGCAATGCCCACACTTTCCTTCCTCTTCCTCTTCGTCTCTGGATTCTACTGGATATGACTTCATCACCATGTTCTCCATCTGATCGCAATCGGCGATTATATAATTTTATTCAGCCGATGACTCGTACTAGATGCGGCCAACGCAGAATATATTTTATATCCTAGTTATCTGGAGAATTCTATAAAAATACCTAGATAGATCTTATACTAATTATCTAGATAATTCTGTAAAAATATCTAGCTAATCTTATTCTAGTTATTTATCTAGATAATTTTATGAAAGTATATAGACTTTTTATCCTTCCCTATGTGCAGTAAAAAAGTTTAAAATATTTTTTAAAAGACAATTATAAATTATATTTAAAATAAAATTTTATTAATACTGTAAATTAAACCCACTTAAACCGGTTTACTTTCTTGAAGCTTGATTTCGTTCACGCAAAAAAAGACGAACCTTTTTTTTCTGTGTGAAAAATAATGATAGCCATGATGAGCCCATGACATATTTTTTTATATAAAAAGTAACATAAAGTTTAAAACAATAATCATAATAATCGGCTAAAAATGTCAAAATGGTATCGATCTGTTTTTAAACTCAACAAGGCAAGCATAAATAAAGGAAAGACTCAAGATATGATACCACAACCTCCAAATAAAAAAGAAGCACACAAAGATAATTGTATCCCTTAAGAAAAACCTTTAACGATGTAGTCACAACATATATAACCTGGTCCTATACTAGCAAGTGAAAAACAAAGCCTTTAATTTGATTAAACTTTGTGGTAGCATTAAATATCGACACAGTTTTAAGTTGGTTTGGGTTAACATTTACTTCTCTGCTACCTCTTTTCCAACGTCCCTTTGTCCTCTCTAATTTAGTCCATGACACTCACGTGACTCACACGTGACCTCATTTCTTCTTCCCCCGCCGTTAATACAAATTACAAAACAGTTATCTCTCTCACAAGCAATGGACTCTCACATCAACCCTAGCCATGGCGGAAACTCTTCTTCTCTCGATACTCTCAAACCGAGCGTACTCACCACCACCATCATCCTCCTCATCACTCTCACCATCTCCGTCTCCATTTGCTTCCTCCTCCGCTTCCTCAACCGCTGTAACCGCCACTCCCCTCTCTCTCCATCTCCCTCCCATTCCCTCCCCGCAACAGAACGATCCTCCTCGCTCCCGATTTTCAAATTCTCCTCCGTCGTCCGATCAACCTCCTCCTCCTCCACTAACTCCAGCGGCGACTGCGCCGTCTGTTTATCGAAATTCGAACCGGACGATCAGCTTCGTCGCCTGCCTCTCTGTTGCCACGCCTTTCACGCGGATTGTATCGATACCTGGCTCGCGTCGAATCAAACGTGTCCGCTTTGTCGCTCTCCTCTATTCGCTTCCGATTCCGATTCCGATTCTGATCCGACGAAGGTTCTCCGCAGAGAAGGAGATAACAGTTTCCGCCTCGAAATCGGATCAATCAGCCGTCGCAACGATCCGATTCCGGAGGAATCCGGCGATCGTCGCCGGTCTTACTCAATTGGATCGTTTGATTACATAGTGGAGGATGTAGAATCCGAAATCTCTGAGTCGAATTTCGATCAATCGCGAAAACATGAAGATGCGGCTGCGACTGCGGTTGCGGTTAATCCTGCATTTGAAGCGAGTTTGGCGGGAGAGATAGGTAATGAAGGTTCTAGAAGCTGGATTAAGGATTACGTGGAGAGACTCTCTCATGGTATATCGTTTAGAAGCTCTGGTAGTTTTTTTACTGGGAGCAGTCGTCGGAGCGAGGAGGAGATGACGGTGGTGGATTTGGAGGCGAATCATACCGGAGAAGAGATTAGTGAGCTTTTCCGATGGTTCTCAGGTATGTGAGAGGTATCAAATTTTATTCAGTTACTTGGTTCTAAAGTAAAGAAACAGAGCCCTTTGCTTTTGATTTTGTACATATTAAACAGTAAACGAACTTGGATGAGAAACTGATCTAGCTCAAACCCAATATCGTAAATTTGGGCCAAAATTTGCCGAGCCCAGCTCAAGCCCATGGAAATAAATTATTGGTTTACAATCCAATCCAGAAACTCGAATGCAACATTAGTTATTTTGACCATTGCTAAAAGCTAATGTTACTAGTTGAAAAGAACGAACGACATGTGTTTGATGTAAATACGTTCTTTAGCTTCTCTATGTGATGTAAATACGTTCTATAGCCACAACCTTAGTTCAGCCTATATTCATCTCACAATGCCATGTTAAAGTTCATACAAAACTTAAGGTAAATCAGTTCAAATTATTGCAAAGCTCGAGAGAAAACAAGAATATAAAAACTAAAAGAAAACGTCAAGAGCAGTGTGATTAGGACACGTCAATCTAATTCAAATCTCAGGACCCTCTCTTTTTATATTTAAATGCTTGGGTTATTTGCAACTTTTATAAAGTTGATATGAAACACTTCAATGTTGTACTTGGGGGCTTATTAAAAGTCGACAAAAGATGTTGAGACTTGTGTCAGTGATTCTAGTATAGATTTGTAGGTCTATGTGTGTTGAAGTGGACTAGAGAGGAGCAATTGTGGAAACCAAGATAATCAAATCTTTTCTAAGGTGAAGACAAAAACAAAGTCAAAATTAACTGTCGCACTCTTGACTCTCTTATCACAAATTCATGGGTCTAAATTCAGTTAATCTCAAAATTCTGACTGCCACATTAGTAATTACAATACTGAATGATTAGTTTAATGACATTTGACCATATTAACATATAGTCCGGAACAACAGTGTATGATCCGCTAGCTAGCCTGGTTCCGTTCTATATTCTGATTTACAATTCTAACCGGAACCCAATTTAATCCGAACCACTTAGAATATAGCTCTTGTTTGATCTGGTTCTGCGGTTGTTATGGATTGGACTGCAGCTTAAAATCAAAATATAAATTAGAAGTGGACTTTCTCTGTTTTGGCAAATCCTAACGAGATTAGTTATATGCCAATTTTTCTTTAGTCAACCCCTAAGAAAAATGGATTAATCGGATCAGGCTTGCAACACGATTACTTGGACCTTAATAAAGATTACAATATATTACGAACTAATTTCAGTAGAATATCAAATGGCATGATCATAGTCTTTTAATCTGTACACCTAAGAAAAATATTTTTCATAAAAACAATATAATGGCACTACATTTTGCTTCTCCCAAAATAACTCAAGAACAAAGACTCTGATCCATCTACAGATTAAGAAACCATATTACTACAAAACAGAAAGAAAAAAACCTTTTAAACTATTTTCAACCGATTATTAACCAAATAAAAAGCTTGATTTTGCAAAAAAAAAGTCCATCAAATCTTTAGTAGTTACGAGGATACACACACTTATGGCGGTAAGTCAAACATTTGACCAAACCTGCCCAGCCAACCAACAACCTCAACGGCGGTGATTAATAACTCTACCTATATCCACAAGCTTCTTCGATCTATTCCCACAAAACGACGCCGCTGCAGATAAATGCGGCTTCTCCGTCACCGTCACCTCTCCACCAACATTCCCGTTAAACTCCAACGGAAACCTAATTTTCCGTTTAAACGGACAGTTAGGACTCGCTCTCACCAACGGACTCAAACAAAAATCCCATCCCTTCCCCGCCGCCGCCGCCGCTACCTTCCTCCTCCCCGGCGTCTTCACCGCCGGAGTCCTCCTCGCTTCCGTTTCTTCCTCTCTTTCCGGCGACATTCCTCGGCAGAACACTCGCTGAGGTTTACGCCCCGAGACCACGTCCGGTTGCTGCTTCTTGGAGAGAAGCGAAGAGATCCACGACGACGATGACGAAGACGACGAGCAGGAGACTCGAGACGAATCATCGGATCTATGTCTGAAGAAATTAGAGATTCTTGTAGAGACTGAACCGGTTCTTGATTTGGTAGAGGACCGGTTCGATTCGAAGTCTTTGCATGAGAATCCGGTTGTATCCACCTGAGGCGTTGTGATGAACCGGCGGTTTACGTAAGGAGAAACAGAGCGAGGGAAAATCAGGTTATTGGATTTACGGTGGTTGTTGTTGTCGTTTTCTGTGACGGCGGCGGAGGCGGCGAGGGAGAGGAGACGTTCACGGAGGCAAGAAGCGCAGACGCCGGCGGCGCTGGAGAGATCGGCGGTGTGTCTTTTACACCTCATCGGTGGAGAGAAAGTTATTTTGAGTTTCGCTGTTATAAGTGATGTGACAACCTGTAAAGGAGAAGAAGAAAGGAGCAGAGGATCTGGAGTGGTGGTAAAGGTTTTGTCTTTTTATAATAAGAGAGAAATGACTCGGAGGAGAGAGAAAGCATTCTCTGTCGGAACCGAGAGTCTAGAGAGAGGAGAGACAGTGTTTATGATGAAGCTTAATGGGAGATTTGTAATGTAAAGCACAACGTTTAGACAGGTCATCATGATTATGTCAAAGATTTATCTCTATATTTTACGATTTTATTATACTCAGATACATGTTTAGTTCAGTTAACTTTTTTTTGTCAGTTAACATTCATTTGACCAAAAAAAGGTTCAGTTAACATGTAATTCAGTTTAGTAACAAATTGCATGATATATTATACTCCCTCCGTTTCATATTAAGTGTCGTTGAAGAGAATTTTTTGCGTTATAAAATAAGTGTTGTTTTCGGTTTTCAATGCAAAATTTATTAATCTTATTATGTACTCCCTCTGTTTTATTATAAGTGTCACTCTGTAGCTATGCACACGGATTAAGGAAACAATTAATTTTACATATTTCCTATATAAAAACACAATTACCTATACACCTAACCATATTTTAACCAATAGAAAAACTAATTACATAATAAAATTAATAAATTTTGCATTGAAAACCGAAAACGACACTTATTTTGTAACGCAAAAAATTCTCTACAACGACACTTAATATGAAACGGAGGGAGTAATTTGTTTTTCAATTGGTTAAAATATGGTTAGGTGTATGGGTAACTGTGTTTTTATATAGGAAATATATAAAATTAATTGTTTCCTTAATCCGTGTGCACAGCTGTAGAGTGACACTTATAATGAAACAGAGGGAACGATTTTATACCAAAAGCATATTTAGTTCAGTTTAGTAACAAAATTGCATGCCAATTTTTAACTTTTCATTACAAAATTTATTAGATAGATTTTACTTTTTACTATTTCTAAAGAGGTTTTATGTATAGTTATTCAAAGTCTCCAGTCTGAACAAATTGAAAAACAAATGCAATCTATTAACCAATTTTTTTTTTTTACAAATATGTAGCTTGTACTACAGGTTAATGATTGTACAACTTTATCATTCCAAAATGTTTCACATTTGGCATTTAGTCAAATTACAGTCAGTTTAAATTTAATCGTTTATATTTTAGTCAAATTACCATCAGTTTAACTTTAATTATTTTGCCGATTATCATTTTTAAACAAAACGCCATTATACTTGTTATGGTCTGCTTCTGGCAGAAGGATAAATCTTACTCATAGTTGACATTGCTTTAATTTTTATCGAACCAATACCATTAGATTTGAATGGGATGTGTAGTGATTACCTCAGCCACTGACTTTAAAAACAACACTTGAAATGAGGATATATCCAATCCAATGCACATACAGAAAGATAACAATAATTTAATAAAAAAAACCTATAAAGGGTAGCATGTGACGCTGGCTGGTAGAAGCCGACAACTATTAGGTGAAAACGAGACATCTTCGTTTCCCACAGCACACGAATGTTCGTCCGTTTCTTCAGCTACTTTCCACATGGCCTGACTTCCAAACCTCATTCTGGGCCTAACTTCACTATTGGGCTTTTTAGAGCCTAATTTCTTTATTGGGTTTTATAGCCTTTTCTCAAGTCTTCCTTGTTTATTGGGCCTTCTAAATCCAAACCAGCGATGGTCACTAACCAAACTTTCCGACAGCTTCTGTGATGTGTGGGGTCCACGTGGAACTTCAAAATTCGAAAATCCAAACGTGTCTCAAAATAAAATAAAGGCAAAAAGACAATATGCGCACAATCTTATCTTCATTAGCAAGAACCAGACCGTACCGGACCAAACTAACCTTAGCTTTAGACAGCGTCCAAGCAACTGTATCCGACCAAACTGATCTTCTAGAACCATAGAGAGACATTTATTCTCAAAGTCTTGGTCCGTTCGTGATTTTTTTTTCTATTTCTGAACTGAAATTCCTCTTTGGAACTTTGAGTTTTGTCACTTGAAACGGGAGGAGAAGGAAGATGACGACTATGGAGAGTTTGATTGGGTTAGTTAATAGGATACAGAGAGCATGTACCGTGCTTGGTGACTACGGTGGTGGAACTGGAGATAACGCTTTTAATTCTCTCTGGGAAGCTCTTCCAACCGTCGCAGTCGTTGGTGGTCAGGTGATTTCTCGGTTCCAAGTAGCTTTGACTTCTTCTTTCCTCTGTGTTCACTCTGTTGACTATTTAAACTTGTTATTTATGTTTGTGTGTTTTATGCAGAGTTCTGGAAAATCTTCGGTTCTTGAGAGCATAGTTGGGAGAGATTTTCTTCCTAGAGGATCCGGTTTGTGAATTTTTTTTTTTTTTACTTTGTAAATAAGACAAAGTGAATTGGTTTTGAGGAAGGAAGTGTTTGGTGTGTAGGTATCGTTACGAGGCGTCCTTTGGTGTTGCAGCTGCATAAAACAGAGGAAGGAACAGAGGAGTATGCAGAGTTCCTTCATCTTCCCAAGAAGAAGTTTATAGATTTCGGTATGTAACCTTAACATTGATGTTATGTATGAATGTATGTATGTATGTGTATTCTTTAATGTTGAAAGTGTGCATTGACGTTTTGGTTGAAAATTTGTTTGATGTTGGCAGCTTTGGTTCGGCAGGAGATTCAAGATGAGACTGATAGAATCACAGGGAAGAGTAAACAGATATCTCCGGTTCCTATTCACCTCAGCATCTTCTCTCCTAATGGTCTGCTTTTATCACAATCTGGTGTTTTCTTACTTCCTGTAATACTCTTGTTATCTGGAACTAACTTTCATGTTTACTCCCTTTTTTGGAAACAGTTGTGAATCTGACCCTCATTGATTTACCCGGTTTAACCAAAGTTGCTGTTGGTATATGATTCTCTTATCTCTTGGTTGAGTTTCCATTTCTTTGTTTTATGAAACTTATTGATACTATCTTTGATTTTTAGAGGGACAGCCGGAATCCATTGTTGAGGATATTGAGTCCATGGTTCGTACATATGTGGATAAGGTTAGAATTGCTACTTCTTTAGCTTGTAAACATTTTTACAAATGCATGACCATATAATAAAGCTTTGAGTATTACTATATACTTTTCTTTTTATAATTGTAAAGATGCTTTTTTCTAGTTCCTTATTGGTAAGTTATGTTTTGTTTGCAGCCTAACTGTATCATACTAGCTATATCTCCTGCCAACCAAGACATAGCTACATCAGATGCAATCAAGCTCGCTAAAGAAGTAGATCCAACAGGTTTGTTTACTGTTCTGTTTTAACTGGATGATATATTTTTTCAGCAACTATTAATAAAACTTTTTGATCTTCCCAGGAGAAAGAACATTTGGTGTTCTTACAAAGTTAGACCTTATGGACAAAGGAACTAACGCTTTAGAAGTAAGCACCTCTTCCTATTTTTTTTGTTTTTTTTGTTTTTTTTGTTTTTTTTGTTACATATTCAGTAAGCTAAATTTTATTCCTAATATAAGGTTCTTGAGGGAAGATCATACAGGCTGCAACATCCTTGGGTTGGAATAGTAAACCGTTCCCAAGCAGATATTAACAAGAATATTGATATGATGCTTGCAAGACGAAAAGAAAGAGAATATTTTGACACCAGCCCTGACTATGGTCACTTAGCCAGCAAGATGGGATCAGAATATCTCGCAAAGCTCCTCTCTAAGGTATCAAACCAAAGCCTAAACACTGGATATTTTATCATTTATCATATTATATATTTGTTAATTTGATTGGTCTTGTGCAGCACTTGGAGTCTGTTATCAGGTCTCGTATCCCAAGCATCCTATCCTTAATAAACAAAAGCATCGAAGAGCTTGAAAGAGAGTTAGACCGAATGGGTAGGCCTGTTGCAGTTGATGCTGGTGTGAGTACTTTCTCTATATGAATCCATTTCTCTTCTCCTTTGCTGTGTGCTTAAATCTATTGGTCTCACTCTCACTCTCACTCTCAGGCTCAACTCTACACTATATTAGAGATGTGCCGTGCATTTGATAAGATCTTCAAGGAACATCTTGATGGAGGGTAAACATCATTACTGATCTTCCTTTGGAGTTCTTATGGATCCTTTTCTATGGAGTCTTAATGTTACATTTGTAGGCGTCCTGGAGGTGACCGAATCTATGGAGTCTTTGACAACCAGCTTCCAGCTGCACTTAAAAAGCTTCCTTTCGATCGTCATCTTTCTATACAAAGTGTGAAGAGAATAGTCTCTGAAGCAGATGGTTATCAACCTCACTTGATTGCACCAGAACAGGGTTATCGCCGTCTTATTGAAGGGGCGTTAGGTTACTTTAGAGGTCCAGCTGAAGCTTCTGTGGATGCAGTAAGTTCTTTCTACACTATATTCACTTTCAGTTTTTTATTATCTACAAGAAGAACCATAATGAGTTTGGTTGTAACAGGTTCACTTTGTCTTGAAAGAGCTTGTGAGGAAGTCCATTGCAGAAACTCAGGTAAGATCACTGTTCAAAAAATCGCTAGGCGGTAATTAAGCACTTGAGATTATTGATTAGACGGATGATTTTATTAACTTCTAGACCGATTTTAAAAAAAAAATTGTTTCGGTTAGGTTCTATATGTTTTTGCCTAGACAGATTTTTCGAACATTGATTATTATCTTTTAAACGTTTAGACCGATTTTTAAAAAAAATTGTTTCGGTTAGGTTCTATTTGTTTTTGCCTAGACCGATTTCTAGAACATTGATTATTATCTTTTAACCGTTTAGACCGATTTTTAAAAAAGTTTGTTTCGGTTAGGTTCTATTTGTTTCCGCCTATACCGATTTTTAGAAAATTGATTATTATCTTTTAAACGTTTAGACCCTTTTTTTAAAGAAAAATTGTTTCGGTTAGGTTCTATTTGTTTCTGCCTCCTAGACCGATTTTTAGAACATTGATTATTTTTTTCCAATTTTTAAAACTAATTTTCTCATAATTTCACTGAATGAATTTCTCTGGACAAAAACGTAGGAGCTAAAGCGTTTCCCTTCACTTCAAGTGGAGCTAGCTTTAGCAGCAAACACATCCTTGGAGAAGTTCAGGGAAGAAAGCAAGAAGTCAGTTATTAGACTTGTTGAGATGGAGTCTGCTTATCTAACAGCTGAGTTCTTCAGGAAACTTCCTCAAGAAATAGAAAGACCAGTAACCAACAACAGCAAGAACCAAACCGCTTCTCCTTCTCCAGCAACACAAGACCTATATGGAGATGGACATTTTAGAAGGATAGCTTCAAATGTGTCTGCCTATGTTAACATGGTTTCAGACACACTTCGTAACACTATTCCAAAAGCTTGTGTTTATTGTCAGGTTAGACAGGCTAAGCTCGCGTTGCTCAATTACTTCTACAGTCAGATCAGTAAGAGAGAGGTAAATTAAAACTATAGAGTAAAAATAAATAATGTCTCATGTCTTTTTGGATTCAAAACTTTATGTATTATGGTTTACAGGGGAAGCAGTTGGGACAGTTGCTAGATGAAGATCCAGCATTGATGGGGAGGAGACTAGAGTGTGCACAGAGGCTTGAGTTGTATAAGAAAGCCAGAGATGAGATTGATGCAGTTGCTTGGGTGCGATGAATAGAGCTGAAGTGTGTGAGTGAGTGTGTGTCTGGTGATGGTTTTTTGTGATTAGAGAACTATTAACTTCGTGTGTTTATAAAGTTCGTTGGACTTGTAATATGGTCGTTGGCTAAGTCTTTGTATGTATTATCATCATCAGATTCAGACCATGTTGGGACGTTTGTAATATAGAAAGGGAATCTAGCGAAGAGGTTTGTAACGGTCCGACCGTCTACGGTTAATGGGCCACCCACGTTCGCTCTTTCGACCTGTGAATTCCATCCCGTTCCAACGGCCGATCTGTTAATTTTCCAATTTTATCGAGGAAGTCAAAGATGTATTTGCATCTGTAATTTGACAAGGTTAAGCTTGTGCTCATAGTCCTCTAATCCTGTAAAAGTAGGTATCGCCGAACAAAACAAAACATTGACTTTCAGAGTCCATGTGCCTTGTCGTATACGTAATTAGGTTTACAAACTTGTGATTCAGTAGTGCTTATGTATAAGCAAGTATCTCTTCATTTTACATCGTCTCTAATAGTAACTTTTTGTTAGGAACTTGTCAGGCTCAGTTGACTTATTAATCAAGTTTCCTAATTCGCAAAGTTACCTGATCTAAGCAAATGATATTTTACTTAACGATTGTAATTATGTTCACGCATCCACTTTAACATTAGTTAGCATTTAATCATTTTTTTTAGAACAAGTGCACTTAACGTTGCGTTGGCTACCGTCACAAAAACTTAAAAGATAGGCATATTAAATCACAATCGTTCAATTCATCAAGATTACTACTACGTAAGTACATGCCACATCAATTTACAAAAAATAAAAATAAAAAAAATACATGCCACATGGCATTAACTTACGTATATTATATATACGCAAAAAACAAAAGAGAGCTCCTTGTCCGTTCTTCAATCTCTACTAAGTAAACCATATTTTCTTCAAAACGATGTTAGCTCAACACGTGTTTGGATTCTGCGAGTTCATCACCGTTTACATTTTCCTCGCCTCCATCGTTGTCTTCACTCTTCGTATCTTCCAAAGATTCGCCACTGTCCTCATCAACCGTCCATGGAGTCGCCACAGAACATTCACGTTCCGCAGCAGCCAGGGGAGGCTAGAGATGGTGAACGATCACTCCTCCTCTTCACCGTATTGTGTTGTGTGCATGCAAGAGGCAGAGGAAGGAGACAAGATGAGGAGATTGACGATTTGTCTTCACTGTTTCCACGCAGAATGTATCGATACATGGTTTTGTGAGATGTCGACGTGTCCGTTGTGTAGAGCTGAGATTCCACCGTTACCGCCGGTGAAGCCTCTTCTCTTGTTGTTTGTTTCCGCCGGTGTACTCGATTTTTTCAGCAACAAATAGTTCTGATGAAACCACATGATCATCACCGTCCCGACGCGTAGCGTAGCTCTCTAGCTAATTTCTTAGTTACGTGTTAGATTTTCTTACTTGTTTTTCTTTTTGATAATACCACTTTGCCTAACTTTTTAACACGACTAAAAAAAGTTGTAAATCAAATTAAAGTTTATCCGTAAATAGTTTGATATTTTAATTTTTCTTGCTTAGCTGTAATGATTAATAAAAATGCTCTCTTTTTAAACCGAACAAATCCGTTTCAAATTCAAATTAGATGTCATTCTAGAGCAGAGTCGGCTCTTGGACCAAATCAATGAAACCCATGTTTCCGGCCGATAATTTTAAGTAAATATTTCGGCCACATTTGGACAAAGTACTTCCTTAGTCTAGTGATATAAGACTCTAATAAGAGGCTTATATGCACAACCTGGATTAATGCTAGGCTAAAACTTAATTTTTTTTCTTTTGTTTTTGGTTTGATAGTGGCCACATTTTTTTTTTGCTTCCAGTCTATTAAAATCTAGGACCGGCTCTGTTCTAGAGACAAAATTTCATCTTAAAATAAGTGTTGGTTTAGAGTTTCGAAACAAAATTTATTTAGTTTATTTGATATTCTATTTTTTTTTTGTCACAATGATATTCTATTTTCTATTTGTTGAAAAGTGGTTAAATGTATAAGTAATTGTGTTTTTATCTTGAAAATATGTAAAATTAAATATTTTATTAATTTATGTGCAGAAACTTAAAATGACAATTAAACTGAAATAGATGGAGTAATAAATAAAAAAAAACTAATCAAAGTAAACGACTAATTAAATTAAGTGATTAATCAATAAAAATACAAAATAGAAAGACAAAACTAGTTTTCTCTGATGTTATATACTATGCTGCATGAAAACAAATTTAAAAGTGGGAGTCAATAGGCTTCACATCGTAGAGAGAAAGAAAGACACTTAGTTACGATTCAGGACCAGTCTGCTTACTTCGAAGATTGTATGGCAGTTAGTTTGCTGTCGTTTTCGACTTTGGTCCAGTGTGTTGAACAACCGATAAGTTTTGTTGACAAATTAAAGAAAAAAAGAAGATCATGTCAGATCATATGATCCAAGGTTTTAGGATAGGGACAAGTTAATAAAAAAAAAGGAGATAGTGATACGATGATGTACAACTTGTTAGCAATAAAAAGACTGAACGTATTAAATTGTTATGATGTTTTAAAGATTGAAATATTTTTCACTTCTAATCATATATTTACTTCATAAAAATGTTTAAACATATCATGCATAAAAATTCTAAAGTAAATACAACATATGGGTTCCAAAATCAATAAAATGATGATGAATCCTTTGTTTCCAAAATCAATAAAATGATGATGAATCCTTTGTTTCCTTCAAAACACCAAAACGGCTATAAGGAGAATCATACGAGCATCGATTTTGCTCTTCATCTCTTTTAGATTGGTTCGCCGCCATGAAAGATACAAAAAAATCCACTGATTCTTCAAAACCTACTTGCTCATGCAGAGTCTTATTCCCATCGGCAAGTGACTCCTCCTTCACTTGCTCTTCTTTTGTCTCTCCAGTTGATCTATCAAGGAACCGCTTAAACCATTTGACCGAGTCTTTTGGATAACGTTTGAGACCATTGACAAAGTCAACATAGTAAAGACCAAATCTAACAGTGTATCCTTGCTCCCATTCAAAGTTGTCCATCAATGACCATGCATAATATCCTCTTACGTCACACCCATCTTCCCTATAACCACAATATCAAAAATTGGTTTAAATTGAAACGCATATAGATTGTGAGGAAGATCAAGAACTAACACTATAGCTTTGTGAAGCTGTTGGAAATGTTTGTCATGATACTCAATCCTAATTGTGTCCTTAAGAATCTCTTCTCTTGTCGTTGTACCATGGTCCATTTGGTTGATTCCTGCAATTTATAATCAACATGAGTTATATGTGATTACCTCTACAAATTCATATTCCTAATTAGCAGATACAGATAATAGCCTTTTAGTGTTCATAGTTAACAAAATTAAATACTAAAAGAAGTTTTCTAACCATTTTCTTTAATGTAGACCGGCATGTTGTTGTATCTATCTTTGACATAGTTTAAAACTTTTCGCAAGCCTTCCGGGTATGACAATATTTTGACTCTGTCATCCTGAAAAAAAATCAAGTTATAAAAAAAAATCGTAGGATGTAATTTAATGTTTCATTTGGATATAACTGTTATAAAGAATAAGGAAGCACGTAACGTACCCCAGGTCCGATGATGTGGCCACTGTGATTAGTCACTGATTCAAAGAATGATATAAACATTGTTTAGTTTGCCATCTAATTGGCATAGATATATTTTTTATGGAACTTGCAAAACTTTTACGTACCTGTCCATTCGACGTAATGATCAGTCTTGAACCGAGGCTTTGTTGGGTCGATGTGATGAAGGTGGCTAGCGAAACGCGCTGTATAGTAATTTATTCCGACAAAATCTGATGAATTTTTCAACATGTTTGATTGTTCCACGGTAAATGAAGGCAACTTTTTTCCTGCATATTTTTTCACTATCTCTGGATAATCTCCGTATATCACTGGATCAAGATGCCTATATAATACACATATAAACCAAGGTTAATACAAATGTAAACATAATTATACAAAATTGTTTTGTTTAGATAACTTACCATCCAATTTCAAAAGCAAGAGTTCGTTTAACTGCTTCTTTATCATCGGTGGAGTCGGAATGATAAGGCTCGAACCATCTTGGTGACAAAACTATACCAATTTGACCATCATCTGAAGTTCTTTTGCATTTTCTGAATTCATCTACAGCAGCAGCATGAGCTAGAAGAAGGTTGTGCGAAACAATGTAAGGCTCAGTACTCGAATCACCAGCTTGACACTTTTCGTTTACCCATTTCGAGCATCGTCCAGCCGCCTTGTTACCGTGATCGTAACCCGCAATAGTCATTATGTATGGTTCATTGATCGTTGTCCACATCTTAACTTTATCTCCAAACTCTTCGAAACAAACTTTTGCAAAATCTCGAAAATCTTCTCTGATTATTATTAAAAAGAGTCATAAAATGACAAAACCAATCATATATGTTATTAGAATGGTGTATTTTAGAATATTAGATTTATTTTAATTAGGCTTACACAATTTTAGGGCTTAAAAAGCCACCATATTCGTCCTCCAAAGATTGTGGATGGTCCCAGTGATATAGTGTCATTGAAGGTTGTATGTCTGCATATTTATTAGACCATACGATCTATATTTTAGCACAAATTTAATTTAATTAGAGACCGTTAACTATACTAGTAAGTTGATGATCATACCATTAGCAAGAAGTTCGTCGATAAGATCATTGTAGAATTTTACACCTTCTTTGTTCACTCCATCCTTTAGCTTTCCACCTGTAGATAATTAGGAATTTACTAGATAAATAACTCGTATGATTGAAAAAAAAAACTAGAAAGTATAGTAATGAAAAATATAACTATCAATAAAGAAAGCTTACTGGGAATTAATCTGGCCCACGAGATTGAAAATCTGAAAGCGTCCATGTTTAGTTCCTTCATCAATTTGATGTCATCCTGATTTTTTTTTTTTTTTTGGCATATAAATTATAAAACAATATAATAGTAATCAATCAAAGCAAAAAAGACAAACTATACACGGTCCAAATACAACGCACAAGCGTTTGCGACAGTAACTTAACTATATAGAAACAGTTCTTTCATTTTGACTTGTTACTACCAAGTAGAAAATATTTTTTATTTAATTCAGACGATATGATAGTTTGATTTAACTTAAGTTTTAGAGATCAAGGTTGATTGTAGGCTTTGTAGCCTATTGGCACATGTTTTAGAAAGGAGATTGGTTATAGAAAGTACCTTATAGCGGTGATAAAAATCAATCGTTACATCTGCGTTATGCATTTTGGTCCTCTCTGTAGTCAAAGATTTTATTTTTAGTCAAATAATTAAATTGAAATATGGTGTTGTTATAGGAAGCGTTAATCAAATCCGGGCCGCAAATTCTGGTTTTGGAACAAACCTGGGTAAGTGTGGCTGAAGTGGTCCCATACAGTTGGAGACTTTCCACCTTCATCTGTTGCTCCTTCGTACTGTATAAATAAAAACAAAAATAACATTATTTTTTTTCGAAAAGCTATTTTAGAATGAGAAAAAGGACCGGCGTTGAGTAAAGCCGGATGAAACATCGGTCTTGGATCCTAATTATTTTTTGAAAAAAATACATATATATAAGCCTAAAAAATAAAAATTCAGACCCCTAAATCTATAGAATTTTTTTTAGGTGAAATCGTTATAAAATCACCTTAAGCCGTATAATTCTCAGAGTCGACCCTGATGAAAAACATATTTTTTCCTAACCTTAGAAAATAATAAAAATTCGGAACAGTCTTTTAATTCAAACTAGATTTTGAACCCGCACATCCGTGCGGGTATTTTTTTCATTTTATATAAATATAACAAAACCTTTCAAATGATTTACGTATTCTATTGTTATATATTGTATAATTTTATAATTTTAATTATTTTTATATAATATATTGTTGTAAGTTTTAAAATAAAAAAATATTCACATATAATTTTTTATATAATGTATTTGTTGTGAGTTACAAAAATATATGTTAACATTTTTGTATAAAAATATTATATGATTTAAAAAATTAATATGTTTTAAAAGTGAGTGATATTTATTTATTTATCTGAATAAAAGAAAATTTTAAAAAAATAAAATATTTTTCTTTACCAATTTAATATATTTTATATTCATTTCACATAGCATTTTATTTTAATATAATGTAGAATATAACAAAATTATGAAATATAGCAATTTTTACTTTAATTAAAATTAATATTGATACTTATATATATATATATATTATCAGGAAATTAAATAATACATATTTTATAAAATATTTAAACTTCTTAGTAAGATCTTGTTAGATATTTTCTCAACAAATGTATTACTAATATCTTATTATTATTAAAATATTGCTCCAATTATATATATTTGATTGGTTAATATAAATACTTAAATATGTCATATTAATGAGATAGTTCAATATAACTTTTTGTAGTAGATATAAATGGTACTTCTCTTTTAATAGAGAAGATTATGAAATTTGTAAGTCAGAGATTCCATTTTTTTCTTTTTTGAAACTAAGGCTCGGAGATTCTGTTGTCCCCTAATCAAACATAATAACTTTTATAAGGATGATGCGAGCTACTTTATATCAGTATAGTTATTAGTTTTGTGACATAGATAAAAGAGAACATTTAAGAAAAGGACAAAAACAGAACGTTTGAATCTATAGACGTAAGCGAATAAAATAGTTGATATTCCTCGTAGTTAAATCCAACTGAGCTGATGTGCTATGTTTAAGTTTTTAGATTCAACTTGTTTTTTTGGGGTCGTAAAGAGGGCATATGTTTTGTAATATAAGTTATAACTGGGTACCTTTTTCAATCAAATAATTAATGGAAAACCTCATTTTTACAGAACTAAAAATGACGAGAAGATCACAGACAATATTTTACCTTTGTGTTATTCTATATACAGAGCTAAAATAACACTCGAGCTATTTTCTTAACTTTAATATAACCTACAGATTATGATCATCAATAATATCGGAAACACATGTAGAATGAAAGATAACTCATTAATCGTCAAAAAGTTAACTAACTGCAAAAACTTACAGCATCTCAAAATATATCTATCATTAAGATATTGATTAACAGAATGATTAAAAGTAAATTGTGTTATTTCTAATTTTAAAATCAATTGTTTTACTCGTAAAAATCACCTGATATGCAGAACCAGCCGTTCCAAAAATGAAACCATCAGGAAAACTATGACGATCTAGTGTTTGAGAATCAATTGTCTCTGCAAACAATGAGATTGTTGAAAGGATGATGAAAAAACGATATCCCCTATCCATTTCTCTCTCTTTTTTTTTTTGTTTGGTCTTAATTTTTCTTTTTGAAATTTCAAAGTGGTGTGTATTAAAGAGATATTTACTCTACCTTCTCCTTCTTATATAGAGATTTTCATCGTCCAGTAATAGACGTCATCTACGTGGAATTGTTTGGACATATATATCATATAGATAGAGAGATAACCAAGGAGTATTAGTATATAGTAGTATTTTCTAATATATTCCCGGATATTTCTTTCCAGTTTTAGATTATTATGCAGAATAGGCTACGATATTCCATTTTGGGTTCTTAGATTTTACTAACGTTGGTACTAAATGTCAGGAGCTTTTTTTGTCCATCGTCATCTATGAATGTGGCCGTGATCATGCTCACGTTCACCATCTGATGTTGGTAAGTAAGCTGATGTTAGTGTTGAATGTAGACAAAATCGTGGCTTCATTCACTGCTAATCCTACGAAGTATTTTCGAGGTACGGTTACACTTTCACGTGTAATGTTCCACACTCCTTCACGCGCTCAGAAAATTGTTGCTTTATGCCACAACGTAGACCATTTTGGATTTTAAAGATTTTCAAGATCATCAGTTTTTTGTTTGCTTAATGTTAATTTTTATCTTGAACTTTCTTTTTGTCAAATACTAACCTGTAATTTAGTATTTCTAATTTTAGTGGATGTATTCTTTAAAACCATATTTATGAAACTTTGACAGTTGATTCATACATGTAAATATATAAAATTCTAATTGTTATAGAAACAAATTTTTTTTCCGTATATATGTATAAATGAAAATACTTTCATTTGATAAATAGTACGTGCCACTGGATATGACACCTCGCTTAGTAAGATTGATATCGAGAGTACAATGCTTAAACATTTCTTTTCATGTGGAGAGGTAAGTGATGTCGACATTTCCAAGAGCTCAGCTGATTTGGACGTTGATCGAGAAGATGCGGAAGACAAGGCGATGGAACTTGACGTTAGCCACATGGGAGGACGCAAATTACTTGTTAAGGTTATTTGTGGGGGAATATACACTTTTCACACGAGGCGTCATTGTGGCCTACTTAACATGCGTTTTAGGTTGCAACGCTCTTTTTGTTTGATAACCCAGTATCCTGATCCTACCATGTAGTCCACACTAGAGACCGATCTTTGTGTGGACGCACATCCGAAAGTGAATACTAGTTAGATGAACACGATCTTCGGTCTCGGATGCTGGAGAATCCGCATATAAATCCCCAGTAGCCGAATTTTGAATCTAGGTGGCGGATCTCATAGTCGTGAGCCCTTTAGCATCTGGGCTACAAGCACCGGTTTGTTGCAACGCTCTTATTTTCGGGAAGACGACGTATTTCCACACCAGAACTATGGCATAGTAATAAATGTACACAAAGTTTCGACGTCGTCCTAATTGCACACCGTTGAAGTTAGACAACCAATTTCCACATAATAAGAAAGTTCGAACCTCGTTTCCACACAGACCATAATTTGACTTGGTTTTATCGGTTTATTACATTAACCGATAGTAAACCAGTT